ATGTGGCACTAAATATGAATGCAGGTACAGCTCGCGAAAAAATATGAGAAGCTTTCGAATATCAACAGCACTTTTTAATATATTTTGTAAATGCAATGAATTAAAATTAAGAAGGAATACACAAGCTGATAGAATATAGCATAAAAGTGTTTCAATAGTTGCAAGATTCAAATTAATTCGTTCCATAGCACATAGCTCTGCAGTTCTCAACCGGTATATATAAGAATTGTTTGAAAGTACACTCCAATTGTATAGTCCTAACAAGTGCGAAAACATGATAATGCCCTACCTCGATTACAAAATGAGCTCAAGCGTATTTTTATGAATACAAAGTCACTACTAAATAGTCTCTTAGACGTTGGGTCCTATACTCCTAGATGATGGACTAAGGTTAGGTTGAGCTAGCTGGCTGATCAGTAAAGGTCTTATACTGACCAAAAAAGTTTCCGGTGTTTACAGATATCGAGCCCTAACCGCCAAAAAGATGTAAGCGACATTTATAGTTGAAATTTTTAGAGCTTCACGAAATCACTTATTGCACAAGAATTAATCAAGCGATTTCAAAGAAAAGTGCGGCGTTTCAAAGACAAAACTTCAAACACACAGATTCGACAGATTCATTTTTGTATGTAACCAATTCGGTTTCTGTCATAGAAACAACGGTAAATATTGGCTTATTTTGTGGTAAATTTTGAGTCATTATACTGATCTAGCAACTTATGATTTGCAGATGTAATTTTCATTTTCGGGATATAGGTTCCTGGAGCAATAGAAATATTATTGTGTACAAATTTTATGTAAATTCGACAAATATTGAGCATTTTAAGGCAAAAAACCGTTGACAAAATTAGCAAATTTTTTTATTACCAAAATGCTCGAAAACCGCTCGATTGATTTTATTTTTGTTTTCTTGAATCAAAAATTCAAGAGTTTTCCTTTCGTTTGGTATATGGGAAGTATTGGTTGATATCTTCTAAGTAAGTTTATTTGATTCAAATATATGGGCATAAATGATTTTCCATGCAAAATTACTTCGTCATCATTTTGCAAACACGTACATGCGTTGGAAGTGGAAAAAGGAGACGAATAGTATGTGTGTGTAGGTATTTCGGCTTTTGAGTAACAGATGGCGCATTATTTATAACCTAATCGCAGCGTATGTATGTACATATGTAAATACATACATACATAAATTTGTTTATTTTTGTTTTTAACTATATTTGGTGGGGTTTCCAGCTGTTTCAGAGGTCTTAGCTAACTTATGCATAAATCCGAAGACGTCATCATTTTGCGAAAATGTGCATGCGTAAAAACAGTTAGGGTGCTGGCCAGAGACGTGGCAGGTGTTGTGGCTTTCAGCACTCTCGTAGACATAAAAATTATAGCTGAAAACATGAAAAACGAAGATTGCCTGACAAAATTGGTGTGGGATTTTAACTTTATGGTATCTGAACTTACGATATATGTACAGTTCTGCACATAAAATAAGTTTGGTAATTTTTGGTTGAATTTGGTATCTAACTTTTTCTGGTGATTTTGTCACAAAAATATAAAAATGTTGTGGAAACACCGGTCATGCTAGCCCCTTTAAAGCGCAGCAGGGAAATAATGCAATATTTGACGAAAAAGCGTATCTATTCAAGCACAAAAACCTATTTTAAGCTAAGACACAGTTGCACTGCTTTTTAGCCCCTGCAATTTTAGTCTGATAATGTGCAAATTTCAAGTGGCTACCAATTACGGTTAATTTTTTAGAATTTATTAGATACGATTAGACTGGTTTTAAATTTTAAACCTTTTCATCTATTTCCTTTTTTTCTATTCCAGCATTTTTCAAAAAGTTAATACAAAATTTATAATCGCATGTCACATATCTATATAAAATCCGTTTGTACCTATTCTCTAATGCTTCGCTGAGCTATTGCCGATTCCCGACCTTTCTCAACGTTGGATGGCAGCAAATTTAAAACCCAACAAAGCATGTGTGTTTTCAAATATTTTTTTGCATCATCGCATTTTTGTTTCAGGCGTCCTTTAATGCATACCACTCCGTACAAAGGTATGGATTTATTCACCTACACACATATGCATATAGCGTTCATGCATATTTATATATGCACAAAACCTGGCATAGAGTAAATAAGCCTACACTTACAGCCGAGTGCAATTACATGGTTGCGCTGTGGCAGAAGTAACTAAGTAATAGACGTCCAGCAGAAAGCGAAATAAAAAAACCAAATAAAATTGCACGTCACATAGTTGTAGCTGCTAGCTAAAAAATACAGTGAGCGCCACATAAATATGTGCTGTGACAAGTATGCATGTGTGCAACTTTACTTGTGTATGCGTAAACCAATTTACATGGGTGTGGGTATGTGCCTAAATAAAAATTTTTCTGGTTTTGTAGACTCCGTTTTTAATGCTTTCGCTTTTTGCTTGTTTGCTATCTGATTTGCCAACATTGTTGCTGGTTTAGTTTTTATTTTTATTACTTTGCACACACACACACACACACACACACACACAAACAAATTAATTTTTCCCCCCGTCAATTTTTATACACAGCACCCAGAGCGCAGCACAGTGTGCCGTTATGTACCTCAAACTTTGAATGTTTGATGATTTGTTGCACATATGTATGTACATACATACATACACGCGAGCTAGGCGCTTACATTTTCGGCTAACCGTCTGCGTTGTACGCAAATTAACAATGCACAAACGCGTAAAAGTTAATGTGTGTTTGTTTGAATGTTTGTGTGGCATGTGCATGCCACAAGCAAATAAAGTCAATCCACGCACTCATTCGACCCACAAATAAAGCGAAGAATGGTGTTAGTTGTTGGTATTAGTAGCGGATGGATTTCGCTGACGAAACAGTGGTGCGTTGTTGAGTATTTTTAAACGTAAATCATTTTATTTTCATGCGTCATATTTTTGGTCCATAGATATTTTATTAATCTATGCAATTTAATGAAAAAAATATATTTTTTCTGCCAAATTCAAATAAAAAATAAAAATAATTTTTCACTTAAATTGCTTTCGTGAAACTGGCTATAAGACAACATTCAACAGAAACGTCATAAAATCTTAGCCCCTACTTAGGAAAAATGTAAATTTTTTTTTTTGAAATTCTTTTTTTTTTATCACAAAAGAGAAAAAATTTTATGTTTTATTTCTGAACAAACCGACATTTTAAAAAAGTGTATTACACACACAATTTTTTGCAATGTAGAGATTTTTAAATTTTTTTTCCCCTTTCGCTAGCTCTATATATCACTACTTAATTACCTTTTTACAAAAAATTTTAGTGCGCATTTACAAAGTATGCTAAACAAAACTTTTATTAAATAAAATGCCTTGCACCGAGAACAACAAAGATCGCCAAGAATCAATGTTATTTTATAGCCCTTACAGTGCACTTTATTGCACTAAATGTGAATGGAATACAAAGCTGCATAACCGAATATTTCTTAGAAAATATTACTTACTTATATAGCTGCAGCCTTGTCATGCTTTCATTTTGTTCCAATTTGCGCTTCGAGTATTTTTTTGTTAAATAAACTAGTGAAAAGGCTTTCATTAGTCCGAGGAGAAAGGAAGATAAATCATTAAATTCTTTGGTAATTGCTCTCTCTAGTCGGAAAGATGGGAGGCGCCAAGCTCCCTTAATTTTTTTGCTCGATTAATCGTATTTAAAAACGGCGTCTCTACCATTAAAGCAGTAATGACAAAGTCGCTTTGTGTTCGACAATCTGCGAGAAGCATAGACAAACTTTGCGGGCTGATATATTAGACACCAACTAGCTGTATTCTAAGCTTCCCAACGCAGCTAGGGTACCTACGGAACACGCCATATTATACGTTCTAGTTAGAACTAACACAGAGTGAAGAATGCATAGACCAAATAGAGGTATTTGTGAAATCTTACGGATTTGTCAGGCTTTGAACTCCATTCCTTGTTATACGATTTTTTTCATTTAATTCTTTACCTCTCCCTTACTCATTTTAAATTGAATTCACGCAGTTACGAAACACTGTACAGCCTCGCTGTACCCTCACAGCGTTCATCATATTAGTTGACATACATTTAGGCGCATCATCAAAAGCAAGCATAGTTGAGGGTCCCCATAAATGTAGCATTGGCATTTTTGCATACCAGCAACCGTTTCTAGTAACTGATTTTGTTAGCTGGACTACTGGCGGGCGATGACTACACACACACATATACATAAATATATCTGCACGTTTTTGAAGTGGCCACGACAAATTAGTTTCCAGCGCACTTCTACATACATATGTACATACGCATCTACGAGTTCATACCACAGTCCAATAATAAAATTCAAACAAATAAAGTTCGCTAGAAAAAAAAAAGTGTAAACAAGTATGTAATATGCGCGAGTGAGCAAAGGCAAAAGGTAGACATACATACAAACATACAACGATGTGCGAGTATGACTGCATTTGTCTATGAAATGGTTTTAGTCCAGAGGCCTGCCTGTTATTTCCATGTCACTTTTATTGTTTGCTGCACTCCCACTCACGCTTTCTGCTTTTGTGTTTGAAGTTTGCATTATTTTCCACAACTGATCGCGAAACGTTTGTGTTTTAATTGTAATTTATTTTATTTTATTTTATTGCATAGACTTTCAATTAATTTTAAATGAATTAATTTTATTTCATTTTAAAGGACGTTTTGTTTTTGTGCATAAATTCATTTTCAGGTTGAATCGTATGCAATAGTAGCGTCAGTCTAAATGGAGTATAGTTTTCTTATTTTACTTTTTTATTTTTATTTTTTGTTGCATACATTTTTAACTCCATTTAGATTGCAACACTGTGCTTCTTTTCTATAGCATAAAATATATTTTAAAATAATTTTTTTTTAACAAAATACCATTCACCATTTCGCTTGGCGCTTGGCGCTTGGCACTTAAAAAAAAAAAACTTTCTTTATATAAAAACATTTTACAGTTTTTATGTATGTGTGTATTACAATGCCTAGCATGATTTTAGGCGCATTGCATGTGTCACACACCACCAAGCTGGCAATGGTTTGATGATTTTTTTTTTTTTTTTTTTTTTTGTTTTACTTCATCAAACGATTGCACTAAATTTTAGTTTATTTTGCACGCGACACGCAATCGTGCGCCCCAAACCCTATGCATGGCAACACATACATATCTACCTATTTGCAAATACTGTGCGCAATTTTATTTTATTTTGCATATTTTATGGCATTACCGTTGCTCTATACATGCATCACTGATGCATTTTGTTTTATATAAAATAAAATTTATTTTAAATATAAAAAGCCGAAGCTGTCAGTTTGGTAAAGCCATGTGACGGTGCGGAAAATACAAAGGGTGCGTTTACTCATACACATACACATGTGCATAGATTTGCATCTGTTTCCCAGGCTGGCTACATTTAGGCATAGCACAGCCTACTATATCTAAAATAGATACAATCGTGCGATAAAATATATGTACATATATGTATTTATGTATGTATGGAATCATGTGTCAATATTATATACAGATAGTTATACGAATACATATAAATACAAACATATGTAAGCATATAGGCGTGGATGAAAGTGCCTTAGTAGTTGTGCGCGAACATAAAAATTTGTGTTGACCACCTCGACTTGGTGGATAGACCACACTTTGAACTTCAAACTCCAACAAACCAAAACGAAGGCAGTGGATGTTACATACATATGCGCGATTTACTACCCATTACTGGATGTAGTTAAATGTATCTATGCACATGCACTCATATATACATACATACATATGTTGTTAGCTAGCGTTTTTTCGATTCTACAAATATGAATTTAGTACGCAATTTTCTTCCAACACTCACTCATTCCCACACCCTACTAAATAGTTACTTTCTTTCAGTTTTTGACGTAGAATACGTCTTACCTTAAGGTATGGGGGCTATGTTCAAATGTTGTAGTTGTAATTTTTAGAGCTTCACAAAAACGCTTATTGCACGAGAACTAATAAAGCGATTTCAAAGAAAAGTGTGGCGTTTCAAAGATAAAATTCCAAACCTGTCGACAGATTCATTTTTACAAATAACCAATTCGGTTTCTGTCGTAAAAACAACGGTAAACATTGCCTTATTTTGGGGTCAATTTTGAGCCTTTAAAGTGCTCTAGCAACTTATTGTTGGCATATATAACTTTCATTTTCGGGATATAGGTTCTTTGGAGCAGTAGAAATATTATCGGGTACAAATTTTATATAAATTTAAGAAATATTGAGCATTTTACAGCAAAAAATTGTTGAAAAAATTTGCAATTTTTTTTCATTACCAAAATGCTCGAAAACCGCTCGAATGATTTTGTTTTTGTTTTCTTTAATCAAAAATTCAAGAGTTTTCCTTTCGTTTGGTATATGGGAAGTATTGGTTGATATCTTCTATATATGTTTATTTTATTCAAATATATGGGCATAAATGATTTTCCATACAAAATCACCTCGTCATCATTTTGCAAACACGTGCATATATTGGAAGTGTGGGAAGGAGACAAAAAGTATGTATGCGTATGTAATGCGGCTTTTGATAAACAGAGGCGCACTATTTATAACCTAATCGCAGCGTGTGTACATATGTAAATACATACATACGTACATATGTTGATTGCAGTTAATGTGGATCTGTTTATATTTTTAGTAATCTATGTATGTCTATACATACATATGTACATACATATTATATATGTACATACATATATGAACACATGTATGCATAATACGCGAAGACTTTTCGAAGTGAAACAACATTTAGAAAAAGTCCAATCCAAGAATAAAAGTAAAGGTGAGGACGTACATAGATAAAGAAAAGGATAAAGGCCAAGGTAAAAATAAACACAAAAACAAAGTTGAGTAAAGATAAAGGCAAACATGAAGACCAAGGTAAATTTAAACACTTTACTTATATGTATAAGTGCAAAGGTGAAGGGGAATATGTATATGAAGAATATGATAAACATAAAAATAAAAACAAAGATAAATATAAAGAGAAAGATGCGGATGAGGATACCGATAAAAGTATAGATGAAGATAGAGGAAGAAAGATTAAAATAAAGGTAGTTGTAGAGAAAAGGATATAGATAAAGGCACAGAGACTCAATCTCGGAACTATTTCGGGATTTTAGGGATTCTCGGGACTTATCGATATAATCGATATTTTGTTGGTTTTTTTATCGATTTTGTTATCGAAATTTTTATCGATATTGTTATTGATTTTGCTATCGATATTTTTGGAACTTATCGATATAATGATCGATATTTTTATCGATTTTGTTATCTCTTTATTATCGATTTTATTATCGATTTTGTTATCGATATTTTTATCGATTTTGTTATCGATTTTTCTAACGATTTTGTTATCGATATTTTTATAGATTTTGTTATCGATATTTTCAGAACTTATCGATATAATGATCGATTTTGTTATTTATTTTGCTATCGATATTTTCACTTATCGATATAATGATCGATATTTTTATCGATTTTGTTATCGACATTTTAATCGATTTTGTCATCGGTTTTGTTATCGATATTTTTATCGATTTTGATATCGATATTTTTTTCAATAAATATCTTTTCTGTTCAAAATTTCAAATCTTAAAATCTCAGTAAGCTGTAGAAAAAAACAATGGTATAAAATAAAAATAAAAATAGGGCTTTCGCTTATATTCTCATTGAGTTCTTTTCACTTAGAAGTATGTAAATTTGTAAAATTTTGGAAAAACCCTTTTTTTCTTAGTGTGTGATTTCGTTTTTGACTTGGATATGCTCTTAACCATAACACGTATTCTACGTTTAAATATAGCGGCTGTATCTCCGATACAGCCTGCAGACCAAGACGAAGGCGCTGGACTGTTCCTTTTTATTTTCTATATTTTTTTTTTGTACCTTCCCTATCCACTGATGACTAATACTTCCAGTACTACTGATACGTCGGTTACTTTACATTCGCCTGCATGTTCGTTTCATTTACTTTGCTGCCTTGTCAAAACGTATAAGATCCGATAATTTTTTTGTTACCCGAAAAAGTAAAAGGCTGACCATACCAAATGGATCAAGTGTAGTTGCTGCTCAGCCACTGCCTCTCATTGCTATATCCACAATAGCTCTTTATATTACCTGCTTTTTCATTTCTTATATTCATAAGCCTATGCCTGTTCGATAGTTTAAAAACTTCTGAGAAATCATCACGTAACTTTAATATACCTCGAGGCCACCCGCATATAAATTGCTTAGTACAGAAGAGTTTGAACTACGCAAAACGAGAAATGGCACAATCTAGAAACCGATGATTTATTTCGCTTGAAAGGCACAGTTGAAGTTGTGTAGTCAGCACGAGAGAGAGAGAGATACGTTCAGTGCATTAGAAAACAAACATGCTATCACATCGCGCTTCATCTTTGAGCCGTCTGCGTAGATAGAGATAGAATAATATATGGTATGTTTTTCCGTTATCCAGTCCTGTCGGGAAACTTCACGTAACAATTTTGCAAAAGCTTAGTTTGGGAACTATGTATATACAGGTAGTGTATGCAATTCCCTTCCGGATGAATATCAACCCAATTCGATTTGAATTCAAAGTGACTTCGGTTTGAATTCACTCGGTAGTGAATTGCAGTACATACATACATACATTTATCAAGGTTTCCTCTATGAACAAACTTCCTCTGAGGTCCACAACTGTAACTAAAAGCAGACAGATGGCAATGTTAATCGGCACCAGCAGTTTACCCGATCAAAATTGTACCGACAGACGGTAGTAAGGCGGAGTAAATGAACCGTGGGCTCATCAGTTCGAGTCCTACGGCCAGCACAATTTTCATCAAATTTTGTATAGTTTATTTAATTATTCATTTTTTATGTAATTTTTAGTTGCAGTAGGTAGGTTGTAAGCGGTGAGACACAACTTTTAGTAAATATTCTTTCCTAGATTGGTGCCCGCCCAAAAATATTACCAGAAGCTGGAATTTAAGTAAACTTCAAACTTTTGCTTCGCTTTTGGTTACAAGGTGAATGTGAGCTTCTTCAACCGCGGCTCTGAAGTCGCTTCTAGTATAGACTCCGCTCTATATTTTTGATCAAGCAGCAAAAGTCTCGAGAAAGATTCAACCCCGAATATAATCTAACGGATCTCTTAGTAAGGAGTAGCTTTAGCATAGAAATGCGATGGCTTTATGACCCTTGCCTAAGAACGGGAAGTCTGGGTAATTTGGCTTTCTCAACTTGATCCTAGAAGTGCACAATGTTGGCATATGCCAGGCATTAAACCTTTAATGACAACGGCGAGATGGCCTACAATTTTTCACATAGAGATGCTAGCAATACTGACCTGCGCCTTGAAAATAGTTTGAAACGCGCTTTCTTAGTTATCTTCTCAGAGTGTCAAGCGGCCATTAGAGCCCTCTGTACTAAATTGTTTACTTCATAGTTCGAAGATGAGTGTTTCAGTATTTCTTATAGGTTATACATAACTGTTGTTTTTAACGGGACATAGAGATTCATCATTTTTATATTTTTTCGAATAATCAGAAAGTGACCCGTGACTATATTGGATTTTTTAGCATTTTAATTATAAGGCTAAATCAAACATTGATCTTTGAAATTTAATTAGAAAACCTATTTTCCTATTAGACGGAAGCTTGCCCACCCCTGGTATAATGCCACCCTGAACCGAATAGTATATAAATCTTGGCATATATGTACATAATGCAATACTATTATGAAAAGATGTTTTCTAACCGAATTACTTACGAAACTTGATTAATGTATTCTATAAAAGGGAACACGTTTCATATTTCATGTTAACTAACTAACTGGCTATAAGAATCTGTCTAAATATTTTAAATAAATCTATCAATGCACTACATATGTACATATATAAATAAAATTCTGAGTAAAATAGTTCTACGAATTTCCTTCTACAATAATGGCTTACAAGTTTTGGGCACATTTTCAGTACCAGCCTATACCAGTGAGTCGGCATAAACACACACAGATATGTACTCGTATACTCGCTTGTATGTATTTACCTAGGTTTATAAGATTCCCTCTTTGGCTTTGCTGCAGTGTTTGGCAAGTTCAAATACTCGAAAGCCTTTCACAGTGGAACATCCGACTCCAATACAAATGTATGCTGTATTTACTGTTATGAGGTGGCGGGTGGTACGAGTACTTAGTAGCAGTAGTAGTCATTGAAAATCTTACGTATGTAAAATTGAAGCAACAGCCAGCAAACAAATACACACACCACACACACAGCTTTATGCGGCTGCACATAATTCATTAAAATTGCTTGTAAGAATAAGATGAAGAGGATGCAGTAAAGGAAGAACAACAAGAACTAGAAAAAGACAAAGATATTTTTTTTTTATTTTTGTTGTTTCATCAGCTTCTTGGGTGACTTAAAGGCGGGAACTTTATTGCATTTGGTACACTATTACACTTTTGCTTAAATAAGCGTGTGTGATATGCATACATATGCATGTAGTGTACATTAGGCTGGTAAAGTCGGAATTTTAATTCTCCACCCTCTAGGACTGTTCTTTACACAAAAAAATATTGCAAACGCTCAGAGTGTTCAATGTATTTTATATGGTAAAAGACAAATTTTTGTAGAAATGGTATGGAATTCTTGAAAATCAATAATTTTCGATCGGAAAATTCTGGTTGTCGTTAAGAGACTTCCAATAACAATACCCAATTGTTTATTTAACCATTTTTTAATACAAAATCTTTTTTTTTATTGGTCCCTCATTGCATTTTTTTTTGGTTTTTGACGGACCAACAAAATATAGTTACTATGAAAAATTGGGAATATGCTAAAGAGAAGCGAAGCTTTCCGGTCGAAAAGTATTGATTTTCTAGAATTCTATACCATTTCCTCGAAAAGTAGTTTTTTCCCCATACAAAATCCATGCAAAACTTGAAGCGCTTTGAGCGACCTCTAAATATTTATGATTTCAAAATAAATGAATTCGGGTATATTTTTTTCGGTATAGAACAATACTAGGGAATGAGAGCCAAAAATTTACAACTTTACTTTTTCCACGTGCATTTTTGTTTTGACCACCCTAATGTATGTACGTATTTGTATATATTTTCGAGCTTATGTCTGCCGTTGCCAACAAACTATAGATAAATTTAAACTATTTGTGGTGTTGTTTGTTGAGCAGATGAAAGTGTTTTTTCTTCATATTGGAAAGTGTAGGAATGAGTATACTTTCTTAGAAAGCTGGCATGCAAACATTCACCATGTTAGGCACGACTAGTGAGCATAGTGTACTAATATGAGCAACCTAAAAACACAGCCTGCCAAAGACGCACGAAATAACTTAGACAACATGCACACTGTACGCTACAGGGAATACCGTTGATACACATAGCCTACAAATAACTGCCGAAGAAGAAGAAGTTGCCTTCAAATTATTTAAATGACTATAGTTTTTGAGATATTTGGGATTTAACCCTCTAATGCCGGTTTATAAAATAACGGACATAGATTTTGAAAAAATTCCGATAAATTTGGGCTTCTGCTTTAAAAAAAAAAAACAATGTTCTTTGAGCCAGTACAATCATTGATTTAGCTGTGACATTAGAACCGTGATTCAATTTTGATGTTGAATTTCGGGGGTTCGGGAAGTCCAATTTGATTTTATTTTTCGTTGGCAGATAGAGTGTATCTTGCTTTATAAGTTGACAAAATGCCAGGTGTATATCTCCTCTAATAAGAAACTAACAGTTATATGGTGAGTTCTGAGCAAGCTTAAATTTCCATACGAAATACATTACTGGTGTTAAGGTTCTAATTGAGGAACTCATCAAGAAATCACTGCTCCAAAGCTCAACTGGCTTTAATTAACAACACCTACAATAAGTCAACTTAAAAAAAAAAATACTATGAATTTAATGGAAAAATAGTAGGCGGCTATTTTAGGTTGCATTCGCCACATTTTTTATTTAAATTTTTTTTCAACAAATATTTGGGGAAGCATATTTTTTTATCTTTTGCGATAAATGTGCGACATTTTGACCTTTCGATTTTGAAAGTGACATAAGTCACTTCATACCTCTTGAGTTTAAGTGATCGGTTACATGCATCTTAACGCGTAGATTATTCGTTCAACTTCATCAACAAAAGGAAAAAGGTTTTGTTATAAGTTTATGCCGATAGAAGTATTGCCAGATGCTTTAAGTTACAAGTAGTTGGTCATTTAGACACAAGAAGAGATTTTTTATCCTCGTCTCAAACCGAACAACAATTGTAGAGCCAAATAAGAAGACATACTTCTTTTCATTGTTTCCTATTATTTTCTTACTCCAAGATTCTTTCTCTCCACCAAGACTATTCTATATCTAAGACATTATAGTTTCCTTTGAAAATGTAAACTCTTTACCACAGACAATCTCTAAGTTATCATTGCTCATTCCATTCAGTTGACCAGAAAGTCTACTTCGACCTCTTCCTTGAGCTCAATTTTAGACTTTTCTTTGCTTTGCCAGAACACCAAACCTTTTACAATTAAAGTTACTTTAACAATTTCCATGCGGACGGTTTTTGTTTAGTATTTTCGGCTGTCTGGGGACTGAGGCGGCAAACTTTCGTTTGAACTAATGTTTCAGAAAGAGGCTATGTGTTTCGCCGATGAAGTCTGTTTTTTTTTTTGTCTTTGATAAGTCAAGAAGACACAGAGTCGTGACGAGTTAAAATGGCATAATGCTTTGGTTTTTTTGGAAAGCAAGAGCGATTAGCTTATAACGCATTTGAGAACTATTTAGTTAAATTGTTAATACATTTATACATACACACGCTCAGTACATTTTAATAGCATCGATTTCATTTACTTTATCGGCTTAATTGATGTAGATAAAGTTAGAAAACCACATTCTAAAGAAATTAAAAAAAAAAAAAAAACTTGCCAACCTTTAGATTAAATCAATTTCTTACTTTCCCCTCATGCCTGCGATTCGCATGCAGTAGTTAGATTTTAGTGGCAAGCGAATGTTGAAAGGGCTATAAGAAAACTTAGGCAGCATTTACGGCCACAATTCCCCACACTTGGTGTCTTTTCAATCATTTAACAGAAAAGTATAAGAAACTCAGTTTCTACTGACCCCCATAGTTTCAATAAACTCTACTTCATATCTCAACTCAACTATACCCCAAAGGGCAAACGCATACATACATACATACATACGTACATAGCTATAAACATCTATGTACATACAATTCTTTTTGCACGAGGCAAGATTTGAGAAGTTGCGCTCTCCAACACACAGCCAGCTACAGCTGTCCGGCTGGCCTCACAACTCATACACAAACACATTTACATTCATTTTTATTATCCTTCATTTCGCCTTGAGCCCTATTTTCGATGTAAAGAGCGCACAAAAAAGTTTTTGTGGTTCTGTCGTCTATGTCTTAGAAGCTACACATGCTTTTTAGAAAGTTAAAAAATGCATGGAAATGGTAAGCTACAACATCACACTCAATAGAATGTTAGTATGGTTGTGTGTGCTCGTAAGGCGAGTTCAGCTATCTTTTAGACATAAAACTTTGCAGGCAACAAAAGGATCAGAGTGGGTGTGTGAGACTAATGAAGATTGCTTAACCGGCGGTAGATGGCTCGTTTTGAATGTGAACTTAGTATTCGACAGAGGGGTTCGACTGCTGATTGGTTGTCGCTCAAAGTAAGCGGTCAGTGGTCAGTGAAATGTGTTAGCCCACCATTCTCCCACCACGTCACTCATTCTGCAACGAAAAAGTTTTGCGTGCAAATAATTTCAATAGTAAATCAAAGTGAAATTTTAGAATTTTTCATTCATTTGGCAAAGGACTTCAAACGCAAAAAAACCGGTGAGGGTGAACACAAGGAGATGGCAGTTGCAAAAGTAGCCGAGTATAGTTAGCGAAGCTGCCAAGTTTTACTGAATAAAATTTGGCAAGCTGAGTACAGCGGTTGTAATGCCAACCAAATTCTTCGAGCTTCAATGTACTAAAACAAAGATACTTGCCAAGCGCCAGCAAATCTCAGTTGCTGGTAAAAGTTTTTTCTGTCCTCAAGAGTTTTGTGCGCTCAAATAATTCGCTGCATACTTGGGTCATGAAAACTGCCCTTTTTATTTAAGTCTAACCCTCGCTTTATCTTCACTTTCTATTTGCCTTCTTCGCACTAACAGTTTCGTATTTCTTCTCCGCTTTCCTTTCAGGAGACCATTCCAGCTGCAGCGACTACAACCACCACGGACGCGTCCGGCAATGGCGGCGGTGGTGGCGGTGTTGTGGGCATTGGCGCCACAGCAGGCACCGTGGGTGGAAGCATTGGCGGCGATAATAACACCGAATCGGATCCCTACGCTGGCCTAATGAAGGATGCTGATAAATTAAAGTTGATGTTGCTAGCCTGGAATTACCAAAACTCCAATGCGGTACGCAACGGCACCGAGGGACCCGATTTGGGTGTGGTTGGTGGCTTGTGGGCACAATACCAGAATGCTTTGGCACAAAATGCTGCCAATAACAAAATGGATACATCGTTGTCGCCAGTGCCGCGCACAGATGCCCCCTCGCCAATGGAGGCGCAAGATGAGACAAACTCGTCGGGACAGAAGGAGGAGGATGAGGCATCCGAGGATGATTCTGACGATAAACTGGACGAGAAGTTGGCCACCCATGATCCCGAGCGGCTGAAGGCGTTTAATGTGAGTAGCAAATGTTTCTTAATTTAACTTTAACTTGAACTTAAATGAGTCATTTCGAATTGTACTTGTATAGATGTTCGTGCGACTGTTCGTGGATGAAAATCTCGATCGCATTGTTCCAATTTCCAAACAGCCAAAGGAAAAAATTCAAGCAATCATTGACTCTTGCGCCCGTCAATTTCCCGAATTCAGTGATCGCTCACGCAAACGCATTCGCACGTATCTGAAGTCATGTCGGCGGAACAAGAAAACGCGCGACGGTTGGGACAACACGGTAAGCTAGCAGCCTCCAGATAAGTACTTACAAAATGTGTATTTACGAAAGTTTGCCTCTCAATTCTGCACAGACTCGCCCGACACCCGCGCACTTGACATCCGTACAGGCGGAACAGATACTAGCTATCGCTTGCGAGAATGAGTCCATGAATGCCAAGCGCATGCGCATCGGCCTGGAGCCAATCACACACGCCATACCGGCGCCTGGCTCTGCGGTCGCCGCAGCTGCAGCAGCAGCGGCAGCAGCAGCCGCGGCCGCAGTGGCTGCCACCAGTTCGTCCGCTTCCGTAGGTGGGGTTGGCATTTCGACAATGACATCGGTTTCGGCTAGCGATGCGCTCTCCACCGTCACAACGTCTACGCTGCCATTTATGGGCGCTGGCGGTGGTGGCTTTGCACGCTCTACACCTAATTCCGATGCAGCCGAGCCACTTTCGTTGACACCAGCCGCTGCCGTTGCAGCTGCTGCGGCCGCAGCTGTAGCCGCCTCGACGGCTGGTGGTGGCAGCGGTGGTATCAACTCGGCGCGCAGCTCGCCGCTGGCATTGAGCTCGAATACAAGTGTGAGCGGCAGTACTAGCGGGCTGGACATAAAACCGCTAACGGCAGCACTATCGAACGGCAATGCGCCAACAAATGGCACAGTGAGCGGGTTGGCCGGCCTGCCTGCCACTAGTCCACTTTACCGGCCATCAGACTTCACTTCACCCTCGGCAGCATCGCCATTTGTGGCTGCTGCTGCTGCGGCAGTAGCCGCTGGGCGTACACCCACTTATCCCGGCTACTTCCCGGGTGTCGCCGGGCTGGGAAATGGTAAGCACGAAACATATTTCTTAACTGTAAATTTAGTTCATGCAAATTCAAATTTTTACCCTCCACAGTCACTCCCACGGATCTCTCCATGAAACCATCGTCCACTAGCGCTTGCGTCACACTCACCACCGCCCCCACCACCGTCAACACTAACAACAACATCGGCGTTATGGGTGTGGGTGCACAGAATCTTACCAGCCTCGTCGCTAGTGGCGGTCTTTCTGTCAACAACAACAACGCACTCGTCACAGCTACACAACAGCTACAGCAGTTGCAGCAACAGCAACAACAGCAACAACAGCAGCAGCAGCAACAGCAACAACAACAACAGCAGCAGCAACAACAGCAACAGCAGGCAATCATGGCAACAGGTCTGAACGCCAATCAGCTGGGTGGTGGTGGTGGTGGCAATTTGAACGATCCAAACAATGTGGCAGCAGTACGGGCGCCGCCATTGCTGGCGCACAAACTCACTCCCAACGAAATAACGGCAGCGCGTCAAGTGATCTCGGCGTACCGGGAAAGCGCGGCATTTCTTCTGCGCACAGCCGATCAGGTGGAGCAGCTGCTAGTGCAACAACAGTAAATGCGCGGGCTGGGTGTTTTGTGGAATATGGTGGAAATGTCTGCTGCTGTTTGAAGTGCGGCAACTTGAGTTTATTGTTGCTTTTCGGGTTTATTTCATTGCATTCTGGTAGTGACGCAAGTGGGGTGCTTTAGATTTAAATAATTTTTTTTTTTTTTTGCAAAACAAAGAGCAGCATATGATCGTAGACAGACAACAGACATACATATAAACCAGCATTTTTTTATAGCAATATAAACTCACCATTGACCCCTTCTACAGAGGCGGGTTGTTCCTATTTTACTAAAACAAAATACATTTAAACTAGCAGTAATCCAAAAATACAGAAATAGTCAAAACAATATAAAATAAACTAAACAAAAGACAGCAAATAGCCAAAGCCAAATGTTTGAAAGTAAAAATATGTAATAATAGATGTTCAACTTGCATTAATTTTCTTGAACTACAATAGCAGCCAAAAAAATAGTGTCAGCGAGGATTGTGTGACTGATTTGTGAAAACTTTCAGTAATGAGTTTGATTTTAAAATTTTTAAAAATTACTTATGAAGACTATAGGGTCAATAATGCTAAATTGTTATTTGACTTTTTATGCGATTCGTAAAATTTAAGTGGTATTATAACTTTGATCCGATGTTTTTTTTTTTGTACGAAGAGATACATAACAAGTTACACCTAAAACAGGAGGACCATAAGCTCCTCAACTTAAGCAGTAAGAACATGCAATTTGGCGCTTTTCTCCTAATCGAAATAGAATGTATACAGAGAAAATCATTAAGATAGCGGTACTATGAATGAAGCTGTAAGTCCACACAACTGATTGTTGAGATACGAAGTTTTGCTTTAAAACTCCTCTATTCAAATATTTCATTAGCTATTTACGTGCCGCTCAATAATGCAAAGCCAACTGAGAAAAGCTTTAAGCTCTTTTAAGTTTATTTTCCATACCACTGATTTGTTATAAGCCATCCGAGTGCAATATTTCATACAAATCCGTGCAGCCGTTTCTGCGTGAAGAGAGGCCTCGCATAGTGTCGGTTTTTAACATCATCAAATTACAAATAACCCTGCACTTATAAAAAGTTTTTAACTTGAAAATACTATTCGAAAAGTTGGCAAGCCTAATCTAATATATTTTCAAAAAGCTTTCATAAATCTCTTTCGATTGGTACTCGTATTTTAATATTTCATAAATATTTGGCATAAGTTAACAAAATTCGACTTTTCATTCATCATTTTCAAAAGTATTTTCGAACTAAAAACTTCTTAAATCTCCTTCATCAAACTTTGTAATACATATTTCAATTAACTGATGAATTAGGTGTAATTTGATTTTTCAAACATTTTCCTAATAAAATGTCAGAAGCAAAGAATTTTCAAACCCATTTCTATTGACTTGCAAAATAATATTAATGTAACTTTTTAAATACGTGGCAACCATCCTTAACTCATATATGTATTTCAGATATAAAGGCCTTTCAACCCAATTATGATTGATACCCATATTTTAATAATTCATCTAACCTACTAAATAATTTGAATGTAATTTTCTAAACACGTGACAACCCTCTTCAAACATTCTAAATTTTCAAACAACAGATTTCTCGACACTCTTTCGTTTGACGCCCGTATTTTGATATTTGATTTGTATATAAGTTAATTAAATTCTTCTTTTCCGACAAGTGGCAACCCTCCTTAAAAGCATTTTCGATCTATTGCCTTCGCCTATTATTGTTATACGTACATATTTTAATTAACATCAAGTTGAATGTGACGTTTTAAACATGTGGCAACCCTCTAAATATAGTTCAGAAATAAAGCCTAAAATGGGGTTGAACATTTCGATTTATACCAATAATTTCGTAATTCATTTAACTTATTAAATAATTTAAATTTAACATTTTAAACGTGTGGCAACCCTCTTTAAAAACCTCAAAAATATTCTTAGTGTTCAATCTGAATATTTCTTAACTTGCTTATAAGTTAGCTAAATTCGACTTTTCAAACAGGTGGCAACCCTGTTCAAAATATTTACAACCTAAATATGGAGATACATATTTCTAATTGAAAGTTAATTTTTTAAGCAGGTAGGAACCCTCCTACAGTTAAGTTAAAAAACAAAGCTTTTCAAAACTATCTCGATTAATATTTATTTTATAATAATTGGTTTAACTTTTTAAATAATTGGCACTTAATTTTTTACAAGGTGGCAACTCTTTCAAAAAAGTAAAATCAAATTGGATACCTACAGCTAGGGTTGCCCACATTTTCTAAGAAATTTATAGTACTTTTTCGAAAAAAATCTGAAAAATTATAGAACACTTCAAATATATATAGTATTTTTGTTTTTAAAGAAAAAGTAAAAATGCTTTTTAAGTGTACATCTTATTTCTTTGTTATGCATTTTCTCTATAAAAAATATATTTCTTTGAAAGTATCATATGCTTTATCGCTATCAATATTTAAATTAATATCAATCGAAAGTTAATTTTTTATTAGTGAAATATTCGCTTTATCTTCCTCATCTCACCATTTCAAAATTTTAATAGAAAAAAAAAAACTCTTTCTGTGCATGCCGAAGTTGCAGGAATACAGAGCATAAGCGAAATAATTTTAAGTAAATTTGGTAAATCTTTCTAAGTATTTTTAAAAATGGTGCCGTTTTTTATCTGTGGAACCCTTTGTTTTAAAGTATATTTATTTTAATATTAATATTTCAGTATAAATGTCATCCATTTTAAAACATTTACACATCATACACATGACTGAAATATATTTATATTTATAATTGAAGAAATATAGTATTTTTGCATACTATATTTTTTTCCAACAGTATATAGTACACAGACCCACAAAATAGTATAATACTATGTATTATAGTACGGTTGGCAACCCTACCTACAGCCCAAGTTCTTTAATTTGAATCATTACTTTTGAAAATCGAAAGAACGGTGCACTGATTATTAAATAATTTGTGTTTAATTGCTTAACAAGTGGCTCTCTGACTCTTTTCGAATAACTAAAACTGGATGACCTGGACAAAAAATCCCTTTGCGTATTATATGTATAGGTACTATAGTTATGATCCATTTAAGTAGCTAATAGCAAGATATAATTTATAGCTCCGAAATATTTTTGATTCATCAGATATGTGATTTTAATACATAACTCCTTTATTCACACGGCCTCTTTGTAAGCACTTTACATAACAATCGTAAGGTTTCTTCCGAAAATCATGATGATCGAGCCGAAGTTACTTACAGCTGCTTATTAATTGATAAAATATGAAATTAACGCTCTTTTGGGCTAAAAATACTACAATGGATCAAAGTTATGAAAATTGGGGTGTATTCATAAAAGGTCGAAAGTCCAGAGACAGTACTTTCTTTCCTGTTTTAGAAATTTTCAAAAAATTTTTTTTTTTCTAAAAATTTCAAAATATTAATATATACGGGTATATATGAAACCACCAATTTCTGAAGATAAATAAGGTTCTTAATTTTGAATTTTCAGATTTTTTTTTATATGAAAAAAAATGTATAGGGCAGCCAGCAAAAAAGTTCTCAAAAATCAAAGCGAATTTTTAAACATCTGAAATTTGCACATTTTTATACTAAAATTTTATGGGCTTTAAAACTGCATACCTGAATTCTTTTTAGAAATTTGTATTAAAAAGTTCGCGATTTTGCTGAAACTTTGCGGATTTTTCTCAATTTTTGTACACAGTATCATTCTTGTATTTAAATGGGATTTGCTAAAACTTAAACCATATTTAAAAAAAAAAATAACAAAAAAAAATGTTGCATGTAAAACATTGCGAATATTTACAAAAAAACCGTACGCTTAATTTTGGGAGTAACTGGTCTGACGCTTTCAACACAACTTTCTTTCCATTAGCTCAAAGTTTAATCACACAATCCTTGCAATAAAAATTAATAGAAAATATTTGTATTTACAACTCATAAGTCACATACTTAAAAAAAAAAAAAAAAAAAAAAACAATAGTAAAACGAAACCAAACACAGTATCGCAAATAGTCAAATAACTAGAAATCGAAGGAAAAGTGTGCAAGTGTAAATAAAAAACAAAAAATGTTTTCTCAGTTACGTGTAATGTGAAAATGTGGAATGTAGAGTATGATTTCAAAGGTAAATGAGTAACCTTTTATTAAGTTATAATAATTTGAACTCACTTTCCAATACTAAGCAAAGTGGAATCATTCGGCTCTTTGGATATCCTAAATATGTTTGCAACAGACTCTTTTTCCTTAAACCTTTAAAAATGCCAAAACTGCAAATATGCTAAAAAAAACTTAAACAGGGTGATACTAAGAAAAAAATATTATTAGATGAAAAGATTAAAAAAAAGAAATGCTATTAAAGTAAATTTGCATGATAATATGAGATTTTATTAGCTATTAAAAAGTAGTTATTTATAGCGTAAAAATAATATTATTTTTAAAATTTTGGTTTGCCACATTAATTGTTGTTATGATTTTGAAATTTTTTTTTTATTAAGTTTGAATATACCTTTTCGAAATTTTAATTTTTTGAATATTTACGCACTTTACTCTTGATATTTTTTAATTTTTTGTTTGTTTGAAATGTTAAAATTAAAAAAAAAATGATTAGCAAAAAAGTACAGCAAGAGCGGTTTTCTCAAGCAGCGGTTGAAATGTCTGCCCTTCAAACATATTCCTTTGAGAACAAAATTTTCCAAAATTTTAAATTCACCAATTGAAGTAAAAATTTAATTCAATTCAAAGAGTTACTCCTAGGATAATCAAGAATGTGGCTTAGATAAATCCCAAGCTGTAGAAAATTTTGCAATTTGTATTCAATAATATGTGGACTTCGCTTCAATAGATATTTGCAACGAAAATCTAAACATTTTAGAACTGGTCTGAAAAATTAACTCGAGATTTACTTACAACTTTTCATATTCGTCGTTTAAGAAAATGTTATCCCATAAAAGTGTTATTTGTGTTTCTGTTAAAACTCTTCTTTTTTAATTTATATTAACCTTATTTAAATTAAAATAATTCTTTGTTATTCTTTTAAGTTTTGAATGTATAAATATTTGTCGTAGCAATTGTTCTTTTTTAATTTAACAATACTCAAAATGTTACTGTTAAATTGTTTAAATGCTAATTCTATTACATTTTACACTCGAAGCTACAGTGTATTAGACTTAAATAAAATGGAAAAGAGAAATTTAAATACATAAAAAAAAAATCGTAAAAAGTACTTTAAATGTGTATTGTAAAAACGAATATTAAATAAATAAATAAATAAAAACTTACTTAAATTTGGTGAAAATACACACAAAAAAACGTATAGAATTTATTTAAAACTACGAT